CGTCTTCCTCGCTACAGGAGCTCCACCCTCAAGAAAACATTAAATAGTCAAGCTGAGGGAACTTCTGGAGTTTCTGCCCCATGTTGTCGAACTAGCTCGCTGCGGTGCAACACCGTGAAGTGTTTTGATGCTTGCGCGCAATGTCTGCATGCGCGCGAACAATTAAAGTTCAGGCATACTATTCGATACCATCTGCTTTTCTTTTGGTCTTTTTCTCTTGGAGTGGGGTGGGGGCACAGTAGTAGTGAGACCTTTCAGAGGGAGAATCGTATTTGTCACGATGGTGTCCCGGACAGATCGTGCAACTATTGTCGACGCCTCTCCTCTGTTTCCGCTGCGTTCCCGGTTTTCGCTTCAGGAACGCCCTCCCCCTTTCCAGTCGCCCGATTCCTCGCAGCAGTGGGACGGTTTAAATGAGCCCATTGATGTCGTTTGCCCAAGCTATTTTTTCCAATCACTAAACAATATAGGACCGTGAAGAAAATGAGTGGGGTAGGACTTCTGTCCTCTCCCTCATTTTCCTCACGGTCGTATTGTTTATCGCTGTTTGTTGGTATTATTTGGACTGGTGCGGAAAAAAAGGAGGCTACCCCTTAATTACGAAAGGTTTTCGCTCAGAATTTAGATAGTAGTGATTTATTTGAAGCTCGTTGTTGTAGATTTAAATTCAATCGGAAGAAAATGTGCTGTTGAAACCGCTTCACTTTCTTTGATCATGGCCCGTATTGGTTCTATTGTAATATGACGTTTACAGGATCCAAAAGATACCCCTCCCAAACCTATCATCGAAACGAAGGCTGAGAAGAAAGAAAGGCGCAGACGAGAGAAGGAAGAGCTTCTGGCATACAAGGTACTGATGGAACTCCTGTCGATTATCGATTGTTCCTGTTTTACTTTTTCCCTTGGCTTGGAGTACCTTCACACTTCTACACTGATCGTTCAAATCGCTCAATTCGAACAGCTGCGACTGAGGCGCCTTTACAGCAGTTGAGACTCTGGACGAGAAACTGTGCTAATGCAGGTGGTTAGGAGAGTAGGATATTGTGCGCCAAAAAAAATTGGGAATCAATCTCCTATTCCACTGTCGTGAAGTGTGAATGCAGCTGCTTTCCTACTTTGCGACATTAGAGAAGAAAAGAAGAGTGAGAATCAAATATGAAAATGGACAGGTACAACGGCATCTCAGTCGCTGTTGTTTGAACACGCGATCTTGACGACCATACCTGAACTATGAACACATACTGATTAAAGAATCTGCCAGTTGCCATTATCTCTCATTGGTGGAGTCGCTTTTTTTGTTTAGGTTGAACAAGGTATCGCGCAATGGAATCCTGCTGAAAATCCAAATGCTACCGAAGACCCGTATAAAACTCTCTTCGTTGCTAGAATAGTTAGTTTCAGCGCTGATGTTCCATTTATTCGCTTCTTTCTCCCGTATATTTTGTCGCAATGTTTTAATTCCCATTTTTTCAGAATTACGAAACCTCGGAGAATAAGCTGAAGCGAGAATTCGAAACCTACGGAAAAATAAAAAAGGTAAGCTGAAACGTCCTTTGATCTTTGTAGTTCTTTATTCCTTCACAAAGGCAAGTGTAAACTGAAGCTATTTAAATTACTTCTTTTTCAGCTGGCCATGATCCACGATCTGAACGGGAAGCCACGTGGTTATGCTTTCATTGAATATAGCGATAAAGCGGAAATGTCAAGTTAGTTTCTTTTCTACTGAACCAGCAGTTCAATATCTGTTATGCATCTGTTCAAGACTCTTAAATTCCCCTATTGGAAGTGAAGGTGGATGGGGCTTGTGTGCAGGCTTCGAGATACCAGCATTTTTAATATGGAAATAACCGAAACAAGGTCACGAGGGTAAAATAGTTCTTTTTCTTCCCATGCGTCGTCCAACCAAGCAGCGCCCACCTTCGCATCCAGCTTGCGCGCATTTGTTGTCATTGGCCTTTAGCAACCACAGGGTGTTTCGGGGCTCCTGCGCTCTTGAAGGCAACCTAGGTAATACCGCGCGAAATGAGAAGTAGAAAGCAAATTAGTCATTTTTCTTGGTCATATTACGGAGAATAATTGCTGTTTTCTTACAGCACCTCGCCTGATGTTCATATTCTACTTTTGCGCTGGTTACTGGTTGAATGAATAGGTTTGTTTGAGACGGAGTTCATTTGAACGTAAGCCTGGGTATCCTGTAATGTTTAGTATTCGCGAAATGGCGACACGAGGGTATGAGTTTTTCGTAACTCTGAATGATCTCTTTCCCCATATCTTGAAAAGATGGTCAAACCGATAGTTTCATTTGAACTTGGCCATTGAACACGGGCGATCATGTGGATTCCTGGTAAACCTTTCGATTCATTGTGTAGTTTATGTGGAGTGAAAACACCCAAAAACGGGTTCACGACTTTCCTGGCGGTCGTGAAATTTTGCGAGTAGGTAACTTTTCAAATTTTTGAACTATTCGGGTAAGCACACGGGTAAGTTTATCTCGCTGTGCGGTACCTCGATGGCACTGAATGAATACTGAGCGCGCAATGTAAGTTTAGTCGGATCGTAAGTTTGCTGCGTAAGTTATTTTCTAAATAGTACAAGCTGCGGACACCGTATACCATCCATCTTCCCCGCGGGTATTCCACGACTCTGACCAGGTAATGCTACAACGAGTCAGTACCGCTATCAGACTAGCCATTTTTCAGATGCTTACAAACGTGCGGATGGAACCAAAGTTGATGGACGCAGGCTAATTGTTGATTATGAGCGAGGCCGTACCCAGAAATCGTGGTTACCGAGAAGACTGGGTATGTTTACTTCTGAAAATTTCCTACCCATCGACGACATTATGAATGAACATCATTGTGCATCATTTTTCCGCCAAAGGGTTACAAGGTATTTATCAAAGAACTGTACATTCGCTGCGGGGGTGCAGAAGTATTCTTCCAGTTTTTTTTTCTGAGCTTTTGAAGATGAGAATAGGGAAGAGAGATGAGTGAAGGAAAGAAGGAAAAAGGAAAAGAAGGGGCTTCGCTGTTGACATATCCCGAGACCCCCTCAAGCGCGATTATCATCAACGTGTTGAGACCCAAACTAACGCATCGACAATATCTCCTCTGTAATGATGTTACAGTACACTGATTTCAAAACGTAGATATTTCTCTTTTTCATATGATAACTTCTGTTAAACGCTGCAATTTGCGCTCCGAAAATTATCACAAGAATGCTGAGATATTGGGCAAAAGTCGGACCCGGGAACGGCTCGAACCCGCATCTCCCGCTTACCGAGCCATTGCGTTATCCATCACCCTAGGGGGCCACTCTCACCCTTCCAGCGCAATGGCATTTTGTGCCATAGCCTTATAGCGCTCACACGTTTAACGTGGTGAGCCGTTTATCCGTGAATTGGTGAATATTTCTAGTCAGTATTTTTGCTGCTTTGCTCACTACTTTAGGATAGAAGGATTGCTTTCCTTAGAATCATTTATTTGCTGTTTAGGAGGTGGTAAAGGAGATACTAGGAGAGCGCGTGAATCACGCGCAGCAATGGAAGAACGCGAAGCAGCCGGTCTACCTCCTGTGGACGGTTTTCGTGATCGTGATCGGGACAGAGCCGACTCTCCTCGTGGACCAACAAGGGATAGCTATCGTGATCATGACAGGAATGGCTCCTCCAGACATCGTAGTCGTTCTCGCGACCGTAGTTATGGAAGCCGTGGAGGTGATCGTGGGTATGATCGCGACCGCTTTCCGTGATCGCGGAAGGTAAAATTTCATAAACTATGAATATGTGCAGTGCTAGTTTACAACTAGTTTACAATCTTTTCCAGAGATAATGGTTATGGGCGCGATGATCGCCGAAGTGGCGGATTCCGAGGACCTCCTCCTTCGTATGGTGGACACAGGAGATGAATTGTACTATATTTGTTGTATATTCCTTTGTCGGATAGCAATGCCGTTCTTGCACTTTCGGGTGTTCTTAGAAGTGAAGCAGACATTTTTATGACAACTGCTGATTTTTTTTGTTATTGATATTACTGCTATGCAGTTGTTTGAATGCTGCTATCTCTAAGTTTCATCCGATGTTGTGAGAATTGTTGCTTTGAAGCCTTCAATTAATATTTATGGGACCTTTCAACACGAATACTTCTTTAGACCTCTGGTTACATTTTTATGGGACCTTTCAACACGAATACTTCTTTAGACCTCTGGTTACATTAAGTCGAAAACATGCAGCTTTCAAGCATCTTTACACCAGTTTATAAAAGCGATCGATGTAATTAGAAGACGAAAGATGGCATTTTAGTGCAACTTCATAAACCTGGAATGCAATGATTATTTTCGGGTTTTTGCTACTATCATGCATCTTTCAACGGTGGTAATTTGAGGTCTGATGAAGGCATTAGTCCCGAAGGCTTGCTAGAAAATATTTTTTGAAGGGCTTCAAAGCAACGATTAGCTCAAGGTTCTTCGATTGTTCTCTGTTACAAATTTACTGGCGTTGTTAGTATAGTCGGCTATGATGTTTCCATGAGTTCACAACGTGTTTTTTTTCCTTTTCTTTTAGTTTCGGAATTATGAATAAACACTTTCATACGGATTGTTGTCTTAGTCCATGTGTTGTTTTGCCATTCGAAGTGTTATTAAGCCGATTTAGATGTATTTTTGAAATTGTGAGTTATTATCCCTCAGTTTATGTTCATGTAATGAATATTTTGATGGTCAAGGTATGGAGCAGAAGAGTGCAGAGGTTATGTTACCGTAATTATATATCGTATGGCATAAAGGTGGATCTTGGTATGTAGGGTAGTAGATACAGGAGATGGCTAGCAGTTTGAAGATTAAGAACGTCTCCTTATGATGTAAGCCTCTTCGACAGATTACGGTTCGGTGCTTTCCAATTTCCCATTGCGACTACTGTAGCAGATGTCAGTAGAGGCAGTTACCACCGTAATTTTTGGTAATGGCAAGATATCGGCACTTCGGAGTTGTTCCTGCGCCTGAATGGGAATTTTCTGAAAAACTCGTGTAACTTGCCTTTTCATACGTTCCCCGAGTTGTAGCTTTGTAGCATTGGTTGCGCTATCAACCAAGGACGACAAAAAAAACCTTGAGCTGGTCTAGATGCGTATAATATTAGGTTGGCGGGAAAGTTCTGTCATACTTTTTTTGAAGCCCAAAATACTTGCCTATTACCTGAAGAGGGGTAACCGGTAATGTGAGCAGTTATACATCAAAGTATGATCTTTCTATTAGTACCACTCGCTTGACTCCTGCTTCTTCTTCTGTAATATGGACAAGGATTTTATCGGCTACCATCGGCACTGACCCCTCCAAGCTAATGAAGCTGCATAAGGATGATGCCCTCAACTACAGGGCAATTCTCCACGACGGTAATACTTCAAATCGGGAGCCTACACTTTGAATGACGAAGTGAGGTTTTGGTGTGCCTGTGAACTCAGCCTGTGGGAGGTGCGGGTCGTGAAACTGCTGGATGCAGAAGCTGCCTCTTCGGTCATTCCGTACGCAGAGCGCTACGAGATCTGAATCGCCAGTAAGAGGGAAAAAATTTGTAAGCTTAGTCCGCCCTCATCATGATAAGTGCAGCGCACTCCGTCCAAAAAAGCTCGAGCCGTACCTCATGCAATAGAGCTGGGTGGCTCTCCCCTTGCATCGGTGTAGCCCAGAATTGCTTTTTTTAAAATGTGCAAGTTACCTACCTCCCGTACTTAACCGTTGTGTGGATGAGAGAACCTCCACGACTCGAGCCCAGGTCAAAATTGAGATGATGTTTAACTTTGCGTCGCACCGGGCCATGCATTATAAAGCGATGCATTCATGAGGTGTGCCCAAAACGAAGAATGGCAAGGGAACCGCAATAACATTGCCTTAATAATCTTTGACCTTACACGGCCTCTCTGATACAAAAGAAAGCTGTGGGTTTTCAGTCGGAGATGGTAAAGGTCATAGTTGTTTTGGTGAGAATTTCTGATTCGCTCTACAAGAGGGGTGTCTCTGTTTTGCTCTCCGGCTATTGGTAGTGTATTTGTCCTCCTTTTCAAATAGGTACTGCCTAGAGGCGTTGCTTTGAATAGTTTTTACATATCAAAATGGTGTACTTCCGCTGGTTTTTTTTTCACAAAAACGGTCTTTCTCCACCTTCCTGCTTTTCTGCGCAAAGTATTGAATGGCACTTTTTTTAACATCAAACTTGCTTCGGTGTTTTTGTAACCATCGCGATACCAAACCCACGTCATGTTTTTCACGATGTACTGCTTTAATTTTTATTCACTGCTTGTTTCTAATAATTCAAATTCCAATAGAGCAAAGTTCCAAATAGTTGCTAACAGATGTCCTGTAAGACACTGCCCTTTGTAATTCTAGTGTACTGTCGGTGTAGTCCTGCAAGGCATTTGTAGCCTAAAAATATCTAAGGCAGTATTCGTTATTCGTTCAATTTGGAGCTTACTCAGGGCGGCCATGGCGTCGTCTATGGGGAAGCTGGGTAGAACAGCATGTCGACTACTTGCGGCTTCTAACACCCCGATTACACCGCAGAACAGAACGATGGTGCACAAGAGTGTGTTGAAGTAGGTTCTTCAAAGTTTTTTTTTCATATAAGATTTTCGTGATGATGTTTCTTACGTCGAATCGGAAAATAGTCAAACCAAGGACCAAGCTAGAAACTTCTGTTAGGTTGACATTTCAGGTTTAACCTTTTCTCTAACCATTTTAGCCCAGGTATAACCTTACCTCGAGACCGTGACCTAATCTTATGCGAGCCTAAAGCTGTCGCCATTGACCAGGACCGATTATCTTTCAATCTCGGCATGGTTGTGATGTCAATTCAGTTGTTCACTTGAGACGACTTCTATGTTCTGTGTTCGTTTCAAAGTCACACCCTTTTTGACTCTTTCAGGCTCTGACGAAGGCGAACAAGCCGAAACGTTGGCCTAATAAATGTTAACAATCTTGGTCGGCTCAAGTGAACAACTAAATTGCTGTCGCCATTGATCAAACCCTGTTTTGGAGGCAGCACGCATTTTAGTCCCATTCACAATCGTAATGGCTCAGTGAATGCGATGTGGCCTGTACGAAAATTGCAGGAGCCAATTGATGTTTACATGTTCTTACTCTCCCAGACGGATCTGCAACCTATTATCCGTCCCTATAGGATAGTGGACTTGGTTGGCTGCGGCGGGAGGCAATCGAAGATTGCCATACCGTGCTCGTTGTAAGTGGGCTACTTGCCGTTCACCACCTACCCGCATCTAACTCCAGATAATAATGATATCCACCACGGTTTACTTAGGACTCCTTGGAACAAGGTCTTCAACTTTGAGCGAAATTTACGAACTAATTATGCTGGACTTTCACTGGAAAAAGACATGTGCATCTCCTATGAAATATTAATGTAATAAAGGTGTTAGTCATGGAGAGGCACTCAGAATTTTTTACTGCAAAGGAGTCTGCTGAAGATTCTGAAAGTCCTTGCAATTTTTTTTTTCCAGTATTTCGCTGCGCAGCGCCTTCCTCAACGTGATACAGCAGTTGGAAAGGCAAGCAGATAATATGCTGCCTTCAACCGGCCTGAGTCCTTGCTCCGCGGCAATGGCGTACAGTCTCGTTCGCTACGGATGAAGGTGCTTATCTGGTTTATCGCTGTGCCAAATCAGTTTTTCACCATTTGTTGAAGCGAGCAAGCAACGAGATTGTCTTTCGTATCTGCCGTTTTCCACTAATTATTGTCGCCTACCCGATTCAACAAACAGTGAGCCACGGGTTTGGCGCCGCGGCAAACTCATCACTCCCGATACTCCCCTTCATCCGTAGCCGTGAAGATTGTTAACACCCTTACGGGGGCTTCGCATTGAAGAACTGACTCACTACTTAATTCGACTCACTACTCGAGTGGTGGGAGACAGCCCACATTTATCGTTTACCTTTCTAATGGCTTTAGTCAGGCTACCGCATGTATTGGAAGCTTACTCCTTTAGCAGGCGGTTAAGCATCAATTGGGGCGTTTCTGAGATACCCATTAGCAGTTAAAACGTTCCGACCGAATGATATTTCGCGTTGTCGGTGTGACCGCGCCTTTTTTCGATGCGGGCACGTGTGATGTCACGCGGCCACACTGGGCAGGTTTCAGTCGCGATTATTTTCATACTAATTATTCCACTCTGAAAATTGGTAACGTGGGGGCTATCTCACATCCCAGTCACGAATATGATATTCGTTTTTGGCCCCGGCGCCATTTGACACCACAGGGCGCCAGTGTGGTGCCACGATTGTTTTTAGCATAGCAAGGACGACATAGCACAGCATAGACAAGAATGCCATAGCCCTAAATTGGCGCCTTGTGGCGCCACGTGGCGTCACCTGCGAAAATACTTATAATGAGAAACCTCGCTTACCTGCAATTGCATATTTACATGGATTTCGGTGACAGATGTCACACTGCTAAAATGGCGCTAAACGGCGCCAAATATCGCTAGCTTCAAGGAGAGATGTCTATTTTTGTGGTCAATGCCTTAATCACCCCTCAAACGCATGTTTTTCACATTGAATAAGAAAAAGCCAAACTGACGCCTGGTGGCGCCAAATGTAGCGAACGCTGCAAAAGTGTGTCATAATCACGATCACGACACCGAATGGCCTCAGTAGTTCAGCCTCTCAACAAATTTTTCTAGGTGCAACGTATTTCCAGGCACGGGTTTTATGAATTGGCTACACTTTGGAAAAATGTTTTACAAATAGACTACCGGAGTTTTTCATGGTCCAACCATATGCAGGAATTCGTACCCCTACAGGATTATATAACAACTGCAACAATCAAAACATTGGCTTCTTGAGGATCGTTGACACTTCTGTGCTGTGCACGCGTCTGGAACTGTTAATCCTTATTATATGTTGTAAGACGCCAAAGGAAATGCTGCAAACACTGAACTTAATAGAGCCAGAAGAAAACGATGCCAGAGTGTTTTGATGATTTAGTATAGAATTTCAGAGTCTTCTAGCAATAAACAAATTTGCCAGCTTCGGTTTGCACAAAGAATTTGAAGGGCAGGCAAGCGATAGCAAGAGTTACTAAATAACTTTATTCTAATTTTTCGAATAAAGCGTCCGAATTAACATAGTTCCTCGCTGTCTTTTTTCCTATGATTACATGTCGTTATATCTTTTCCTATCTGCCCACCAAATACACACTTTTAGATTTTTGTTGTGTGTTGCAGGATAATCATTTACCATCCTTGAAACATGTATTTAGCTGGTTTTTATCGTAGAATTGTGACACATTCCTGCTTTACCTGTAGGAACATTTTCACAAAACACCTTTTTTTGATGTAATTAATTACTAATGTTGCTGCGTGAACGTTTCGGCCTGATCGCTCACATTTTCAGAGTTCCTCCTGATTATCCGGATCCATGGCCTTATAAAGAGAAGGGATGGCACTATATTGATATGCTGAAAGATCGTACCAAACCTCATTTCCATCAAAACTCGAAACTTATCGTATCGTGGTGGAAGGAAACATAGGCGCTGGAAAGGTATGTTGTTGTAGTCCGTTGAAGCTTGAACGACCTTCTAACCATATGCTCGACCAGAAGTGGAAAGATTGACGTGACTTTTCAATGCAAACTTTTTCAGATGGCCTTGTGAAATATCTCGCATAAGAGTGAAGTTGTGGGAACTTTAGCTAATCTTGGTTCATTGCTTCCCACAAATAAATATAGAGGAATTCCGAGAGCAGTGGGCTTTTCTCAAAGCAGCATGCTATGAAGACTTTACAGACGTTCCGCTTAAAGGAAAGGGTTGATAAAGGGTTTGCTGGAGTAGAACAGATATTATGCTATTGAGCAGGACTCGTTTCCGTGAATAGGTAGAGTAAAGCACTAACGATTATTTGTCGGTGCGATGTTTCCAGTGTTTTCCCCCACTACCAACATTTCTCCTTCTCTTGTTCGTTTCTGCTGGAACAAAACTCTCCGAGTTTTTTGTCGTGGGGACGTACCGGGTCCTTAGCTTTTGCTTACACCTGAGACGGAACTCAGTGTAAGTCACAACATTACTACAGGGCGTGTAATCGACATCAATTATTATTAGCTACATTTATTGCCACCTAATTGCGTGAGTAATGGAAAAAATCGCATAAAAAAAAACTAAGTGAAGAGCCCCACTCTTTAACTGCGTGAGGGCCCACTCTGTGTCGCTGTAAGGAGCTTTGCTTCTCCCTTAGTACTGCCCGATCGAACGTGTTGGGAATGTTCCCGATCGGGGTATTTACTCATAAAAAAAAACTGTAGCCTCAATTGATAGCTTGATGTTGCTTGACTTTCTCAGTATCGCAATCTTAGCGATATTGAAGCGCAGGCGAATTAGATCGATTTCCCTATGATTGACAGGTTAAATTTCCAGAGTAAGTTGTCCGCCGAACTCGCTGATCAACTTGGGCTCTATCACATGCCAGAGTTCAAAATGGAAGATATTCTTCAATTGATCGATATGGAAACGACCTGAGGAAGTTCTATCACCTGGTACTTACTATTTCAAAATTGAGGCTACTAATGTTGGTGATATCTCTTGCACAATAGCACTTGTATTCAGTTTCCCGAGAGTTTCCGAATACCTGACATGGACATGTTCTATAAGAATCCTATGAGCGACCTGACAGCAAAGATTGCAACAACGCATATTTTAGCGTTGTCGATTCAGTTTTTTGAATGCGGTGGCTCACATTTTGAATACAGGTAAGCATTAGACTATTAATGGTTGCAGTCGGAACGCTTTTACTCGCAGCTATTACTCTGAGCTATTTCTCATACCAAAAAGAATGTTCATGCTTATGCTTTTTATGTCACATGTGTGTGATGTATGTTTGGTTTGTACGTATGTATGTTTGGTTTTCCATTTAGAAATTGTTGATCTAATTGAGTGATCTTTTTTCAAAATTTTTTTTATCTGGAATGTGATCCTTGCGTGTCATCGCCACATGGCGATGTCCCCCACGACTTCCCTACGCCCCGCCTCTAAGTCTTCGAGGCGTGGGCGTAGCCCTATGATGGCATTGTATTCTGCGACATAACAGATAAACGTGACTGCTTCTCGTCTGTACTCAACTACAACAACCACTGAACCGCCTAGACATTTTGGTGCATCGGCCAAAATTTCTTTTTCTAAGCAGTCTAAGAGTAAAAATCTTAGACTACTAGAAATATCACAGCTCGTAAAAAGAGCTTAAAGTCGATCCAAACCGACGCCTCCTTTAACAAAAGGAGAAGAAAGGAAGTGCCCCCGTATTTAATACCAGGTGCCACCTTTTTCGCTAAATAACAGCGAATACCTCCAACAAAGGAGAAGAAAGGCAGAGTTCCCGTATTCATTACCTGGAACCACCTTTTAAAAAGAAAAGCGAATAGCTCAAATAGAGTAAATCGCCAAGTACAGCAGTACTGAAAGCCTTAACTTTTGTAAAGCAAGTTAGCAAAAAAAATTAAAGATGGCTCTACATTTTTACAAAACACCCATCGTGCTGAGCGCAATGACGCTCAAAAAACTAGTGATTAGGTATAAAGAATACACCGTCAGCGTTGAGTATACAAGCGCAGACGAAGAAAATTATGATAAGTGTCGATCAACGATAGCGCTCTTAGAAAGCGGGATTCGACAAATTAGAGAAGGCAGGGAAGACCTGCAGAAACTGTACAACGAGATTAGAGAAGAGTACAAGAACTGTAAAAACAAGTCAGATAAAAAAGACTTAATGCTCGAAATCGAGCAAATCGAAGAAGAATCACAACTACAGCAAGCGATTGCTGACTCAAGTGACTTGATATTCATGCTCACAGCTCGATTAGATGAGTCAAGATGCGCATACAACAGAATAGGCATCAAACTAGGGTATATTACTCACAACTCAAGTAGAAACGAACCAGTACCGCATGAGTCAGAGTTTCAAAGCGGTCAAGAAAACGACTCTGAGGAAAATACCCATAGTAGCGAAGTTAACGGTACTAACTCGCATAATGGTGAAGGAGAGCAAAGACCAACACGCTCAAATCACTCCAATGGTCTGTTAAAGCGTGCTATAAATCCTCCCCACGCAACCCTTTCCCAAATTTTTCGGTAAGGCGGAAGAATTTCCCGAGTATTGGGCAATATTTGAGACACTAGTACATAAAAATGATGAACTAGATGTTGTGGAAAAAATTATCCTGTTGAGAGAAAGTCTTAGAGGGAGAGCTAGATCAGCTATCCAAGGAATTCAGCCTTTACCACAAAACTATGACTGGATAATCAAGACCCTTAAGGAGACCTACTGCGATTATTCAGTAAATAGATCGCAAATTGTTCAAAAACTCGTAAGTATGAAAGGAGCGAACAATTTTGCAGACAGCTGCTCCGCAGTTTTGGCACAAATCCAAGTTCTAGTTAACCAAATGGTTTCTGCAGGCTACGATGTTAGAAAAACCTGTGATCCTATATGGTGTGAAACCATTCTGTCCAAATTTCCAAGAAACATCGTCAAGCCTGTCCTCATATCTGGCCAAGCGATGCCACAACAAACAATCGAAAACCTCATGGGTCAACTGAAGAAAGAGGTTGCCGCAAAGAGCTACGTCGATAACAGACTTGGCCAGGCAATCGAGCCCAGATACGACCACGCAATCAGAAACAAGGTCAACACTCAAAGGGAGAAGTATATCAATCTACGACCCAATTAATAGTGAAGGGTGTCTGTTCTGCCAGAGGGATGGTCATCTTTCAATGACATGCAGAACAATAACAGATAAGGCAACTCGCAGAAAGATCCTTCAAGAAAACAACAGATGCTGGAAATGTTGCTCCTCCAACCACACCAGCTTTGATTGCCAGAAGCCTGACTGTACTCAATGCAGTCAAAAACATCACATTTCTGTATGTTACAAGAACAACACAGACACTAACAGAGCAACCAACAGAAATCAAAATGCGCCGTGGAACCCGCCACAAAGGGTAAACCCAAACGGACAACATTCGAGAGGGAATAACCAAAGAAATACTGAAAATCGCAACGAGAACAGGAGACTAGTTGCAAATAATGTTCAGACCAAAGCAGAAAATAACCAAGTCAATGGAACAGTTACCTCACAGCTGATTTTAATGACAGCCGAAGGTAACATATGGAACAACAGAAAGAATACATACGAGAAGGTTCTATTCTTCTTTGACTCAGGAGCACAAAAAACCGTGATCCAGGAGTCTTTAGCCACAACATTTGGACTACCAAGGCAAACGACAGAAATATGCACGATGTCCGGCATTGGTGGTCATATAGAAAAATTTGAAAGTCACATAGTAACCGTTAAAATCGGAACGGCTTTCGGAGAAGAGATCGAGTTAACTATTCAAACGAAGCCTGTCATAACAAACGGCTTCCCCAGCGTCAACCTGGCACCATCCGATATTACTTTCTTGAAGGCGAATAGAATATGTCTCGCCAATTCAAAGCTTCGCGGAGAACATCAGATCCCGCACATTCTCGTAGGATTGGATTATTTCCATGAGCTGGTCACAAGTCCAATGCAGGGAATGAAAACCCCTACAGGACTACATATATCCAACACCATTTTTGGACCTACCATATACGGCAAAGGAATCGTCCAATCCGAGGTCGTAGAAAATCAGCTGTGCTACGGGCTAACGGCAGTTTTTGAGCCTAGCGAAAGAGAACTTCTTCAAAAAATGTTTGAATTAGAGGGACTCGGAATTTCTAGTGAAGAAAATCAACACGGTGAAAATGTCTACAGATACCTAGAAGAATACTCGAAGAAAATATCTTTCAACGACGGTCACATCACAGCCCCTTTTCCAATAAGGAAAACATCGCAGAACTGGAAGACAATTATGCAATAGCAATACGAAGACTGGAATCACTACAAAATTCGCTTTCGCAAAATCCCGAACAGTGCATGTGGTACTGTAGCATCCTTCAAAAATATCAGCAGGAAGGAATGATAGAAACCTTCACTTGTTCAGAACAAGATGCCGTGGGGACATACTATATGCCCCACTCAGGAGTATGGAAACCCACGAAAAAGACTCCACTGCGGATCGTATTCGATGCGTCTTCCAAAAGAAAGGGAAAACCTAACGACGCAATTCACAAAGGAGAAGCATTTGTCAATAAAATACACGACATATTGCTGACATCCCGAAAGCAGCAAAATCATCCTAATGTGTGACATTGAAGCGGCGTTTACGCAGATCCGTTTACTGAGCTCACGCAAAGATCTATGCCGATTCCTTATGGGTTGAAAGATGTAAACCTTGCCTCCTACGAGGGACAACCTTATTCACTACAGATTCAGAAGACTCCCATTCGGAGTGACCGCCTCGCCCAGTGTTCTAAACATGGCACTCTCGGCATTTCTCAACAGCAAAAGTACGAAATTAGCCAGTGAAATCGCTAATAATTTATATGTGGACAATATTCCTGCTGCAAGCTGAATCAACAGAAGAAGCCATTCAAAAATACCGAGAGTCCAAGGCATTGTTTGCTCAAATCGGCATGAACCTTAGAGAATACGTATCAAATTCGAAGGAAGTGAACCAACAAATTCCAAAAGAAGACAGACTGGAGTCTTCTAGCATAAAATTACTGGGTGTTGAATACAAGGTGGAAAGTGACACTTTTCAAGCCGTTACATGTTTCCGCCAATTCAGCAAATTAACCAAAAAAGATGTTGTGAGCCAAATCAATTCAGTCTACGATCCTATTGGGATGGCAGGCCCATTACTGGTCCATTTGAAATCAATGATGAGAGAGATATTCGATTCGGGGATCGACTGGAAAACCAACCTCGATTTGAAAACACTTCTAAGGTGGAATCAGTTGTGCACCACCGTCAATGGAGCCGTCATATCAATACCACGACAGGTCAACACGATCTCAGGTGCGAAGATGCGCCTGTGGGCATTCGCAGATGCGAGCAACTTAGCCACTGCGACCTGTGCCTACGGGCAAGATGTCCTATCAAGGTCAATATCCAGCCTAATCAGTGGGAAAACACGGCTAACACCAAAGAAATGCCGACAAACTATCCCAAGGCTAGAACTAATCGCAGTACTGATGGCAATGCGCCTTATTAACTCCATTATTTTGAACTTTCAGAAGTCATGCATCACGATTGACACAATCTCAATTGTAACAGACAGCGAAATCGCACTGTGGTGGTTGAAATCTATCAAAAAACTGCCTATTTTTGTCGCCAATACGCGAGATCGAATAATGAAGATTAAAACAGCTATAGAATCGAAAGGGATTTCCTTATCCTTCTACCACGTGACTACGTCTCATAACCCTGCAGATGCAGGTACAAGAGGACTAACTGCTGAAAACATCAACAATAGTGATTGGGTTCGCGGTCCAAAGTGGGTTGAAAGAAACCCCACCACATGGCCAATAAGATCCATAGATTATATCTCCGAAATACCAATAGAAAATGAGGAAGAATCGCCACCATTGATGAGTAATTTAGTACAAACCAGCAAAAATTCCCCCCAACTCATCGATTTGACGAGGTTCTCGAGTTTGGAAAAAGCACAACGAGTAGTATCTATAGTCGGCAAAACGGTGTCAAATTGGATCTCAATAACGAATAGAAAGCGCCAGACAAAGATAGAACCCTCGGTCGTCTCAAAATTCGGCACAGCCACAGAGATATCATCGATTGACATGGAGTTATCGGAACAAATTATTTTACTCCAAGAGC